TGCGATTCTTCCTGACCCCCTTTAAATCTCAAAGTTATAACACCTTCCATTTATACATGCTATAAATGATGACTGTTAGTATGCCATCAACTGCATATTACTCATCGGATGCGAAAAATTCCTATGCGCCTATTGCAGCCGGACAAACAGCTCTTATGGAACAACGCAGTGTAGGACAGTCAGTCATGAAGAATTCCCTTCTTCACAGGCCCCTGGATGCTAACTCTTATGGCTCCCAATCACCCAGCATCCCAAGCGCCAGTCTTAGCGCCGCAATTGCTTCCTCGTTGTCACTAGGTGAAAATCACCAAGGTCTTTCACGGCTTGAGGATGTGCCCCTTGAATTGCTCAGTAGGAACATATCCTTTCACCGCTCCCCATCCGCACCTCTTGACGTCCTAATAAAGTCGAGAATCGAAAAGATGCCCAACTCGCTTGTCCTGGTCAATAATAGCAAAACTGAAAACGAGGGTAAGTTGTTACCATAATGTAGGCTCATTTCATATTATACGTTGCTACATTTGTGTTAATACTCCTGTTATTAAATGCTACCACCACTGTCGGTTTCGTATTGTGAGTTGTTTTAAGAACTCAAATGCAGATATTCACATTTTACTTTGCTGTTATTGATCCATTTCTTCCCAAATTTTCATATTGATAGAGTCTGGGGTGCCCACAAGCTGCAAAAGGGTCTTGTTCACTGACGCGGAACTCATCCAATGCTGTCAACAGGCACAGTCTTTTCTTTCTCGAGGCGTTATGGGTCTTCATAACGCGGGAAACACATGTTACTTGAATTCTGTGTTGCAGTGTCTCTTGGCCACCGGTCCTCTCCTTTGCTACATCGTGGGAAATCATAATCGTTCAAATAATTGTCCCTATATAAACGGCAAATCAAACAACGGGATGCGACGTTTTTGTGCCCTTTGTGGATTATTTAAGCTCTACCAAGAGCATCAGCCCCACAATTCGTTTTCCCAGCAGTCGAGTATCTTCAATCGCACCTCTGCAGGACAAACCACGCCGTCGTACTTTGTGTCAAATGTCAGAGGTAAGGTCCAAAAGTTCTTTTCAAACCTTGATTACTTACATTACCCTGAAAAAAATACTTAATCAAAGCTGTAAATTGGCCAACTAGTGGGATCATTGTATCACACGTCTTTTTCAACGAATTCGACGTGCGTCCCCCACTTAAATGCAAAGCTTCGTGCCTATTTGTGTGACTGTATATCAGTTAGTTGGTGTAGTCCAGGGGTCGGCAACCTTTTTGACTCAGAGAGCCAAGAAAGCAAATATTTGAAAATGTATTTCAATGAGAGCCATATAATATATTTTAAGATTGACTTCAATTAAATGTGAGTATAATAAGCCTCTGGATTTATTCGTGTAGGAACCAAAATCACAAAATCTGAAGTTTCTAACTCAAATCTTATCTGAGAGAGCCAGACCCAATCATCAAAATAGCCACACCTGGCTCGCGAGCCATGGGTTGCCGACCCCGGGTGTAGTCTATTCTTCGTAAAAAGGACGCGTTTGGAATGCTACACTACTGTTATGTGATAATTTAGTTACTCCCAGCATAATGCTAAGCCCGTGATATTTTTAAAGTCGAACTGTGCGGACATTCAAACGTATTTACCTATCGAAATTTCAATTATTCCTTTCTGTATTATATGTGAGTGTAAAATCCTGTTGCAGATTACGATAAGTACAAAATTTTTACGACTGTATCCTGAAATTTATCTCCCTGCTGTAAATGGTTGTATTAGGTAATAATTTCCGGTAGCTCCTATGAATTTAAATTAGTCCGTGTGGATTTCCTGACGTTACGAGAATTCGTGTTTATCTCTTTAGCGGTTTGTCCAAACCTTCGTGTCTACCAGCAGGAGGATGCTCACGAGTACCTTTTGGGAATTCTTTCGAAAATGGAAGACGGCGTACTCGCGGCCTATGGTAAAATGCCCCGCGCCACAATGGATACCAACGTTATCCGGCGGATTTTTGGCGGAACTACACGATCGGAGGGTGCGTTTCACGGATGGTCACTTTTCTTTAGTCTTCTTTTACATGTTGAGACCTGGTCGATTCTTAAACATCCAATCTTTTAATCGATAAATTCATCTAGAATTGGCTTATCTTCTACAACACTGCGACTTGGACGCATTTTCTTTATTGTATTTCTTGCCTTTTTACCGCTACCAATGTGATTACGCATGACAGACATGCCTGACTCCTCCGTTCATTCCTGTTAGAAGAGCATTGTAGCGTTAATGTTTATCAAGTAGTTTTCGTTTAGTTACCTGCAGCACTTGCCGAAGGACATCGCCAAGGAACGATCAGTGGTTCAATCTCTCCATGGACATAACACATGCACGGAGTTTACAGGTAATTAGTCTTCTTTTGTTAGAGCGTTTATTTTGATTTTTGGAAGCAGTTAGCCCACAATCCTAGCTTGGTCTCAATTTCGCAACCCGCATATCACACTGTTATACTTTAGCGCCTTTGACCGGCTATTCCGGCCCTTTAGCTGTATTCACCGTCTTCATCAGTTAAAAACTGCTTCGAGTTGTAGATAACACGTCGTCTTGCATTATATTAAGCAATGCCTCTTCAACTACACGCAACCAGAAGTCCTTCAAGGAGCGAATGCGTACAAGTGTGAAGCATGCAAGCAACTTCGCCATGCCACTCGGTGTTGTCGAATTTCTCGAGCTCCTCCTGTTCTTATTGTACAATTCAACAGGTAAATTTTCCTATCTTCTGGCCACTCTATGTGATGTATTGCGGGGGAGCCAGTAGATACTAACTGACGCCAAGTCAGTGAAGTTTTGGCTGTTCCCCAATAAAAAAATGCTCACTCTCAGGGTCAACAGCGTAAGTTCAGCTGTTGACTTCGTTCCGTGTGCAATATTTTGTTTCCATGTCGACATGTTAGAAACTATAAGTACTCAGACAGAGCAACGAGATGTTATAAATGGAAATTCCTTCAAGTTTCCCAAATTCTCCCATTTTTTGGCAAGGGTTGGCGTGCACAACGAGTGAACTAGAAAATGTTAATATGTCTGCTATCTCGGACGTGGTACCACTGTGCTGTGTCCGTCGCAGCT